GCACAATTTTCTGAAGTCTCTTTTCCTCCATCTACTGCCTTTGGAGCTTATTTAATAGGCTGCATTAAAATGGGCTCCCAGTGCTCCTTTCTTCATCACTCCAAAGGCTCCTGTCGCCATTTTGAACTTGATTAAATCAGGGAAATACACATTTTTTCCTCCTGATAGAATCTGAGGCCAGTGATTTCTCATAAATGTGGGATTAAATTTTTGCAAATGTTGAGTCTATATAAGAATTAGTCCTATGTTTTCTATTTTTCCCCCTGCATGTAAAAGTGTAAATATTTTGCAAAGTGGTCCATCTAATCATTTCCTGTACTGCTCTTGTCAATTATTTGTATGCAATTCATAAGAGCTATTAATATGTGCTATGCTCATTTTACGTATATATAATTAAATCAACATTCTTTTACGATGGCGACTGTTAGAGGGTAATTGTAGGAAGCCCTAGTAACAATTCAGAATAAAAAATTATCTGTAAAAGCTGATATAAAATTCCTGTCCATCCCTATCAAAAATAGGCCATATAAAATTGATATAAAATCAATGATAGAAAAAAATTGGTTCCTTTGTTCAAATATGTTCAAAAAATATAAGTATGAATCAACAAAATCTAATTATAAGGATACTTCTGTTTATTTTTTCTTTTTGCTATGCAAGCTAAAAATTCATTAATTCTATGAGGAACAAAAGAGTTTGGAGCATAAGGCTGTGTAGGCCTTAAGCAAGGATTAAATTCTTGTTAACGAACCAAATCCTTCCAACTAGAGAAAATTAATATGACTATGGTTTCATATGTATGTTACCTTTTAAATATCATATTTAAAGCATCATGCCAGAATGAGCCCTAGAATGTTGATAGCACTATTCTTTAAGGTTCTTTGTTATTCCCCCATTTTTTTTTAAAACTGGATTCTCTAAAGAAGCATAATTATTGGATTCTGAAATTTCCTATTAGTTGCCAGCTTTATTGAGGTATGATTGACAAGGTACTAAGTAGTCTTTATCACCAACATTTTAGGGGAGATTTGATAGTTGGAGCCACATTTTAGAATGAAACCTGAGTAGAGAAAAACCAAACACATTCTTTTATATCATCATTTTCGAATTACAAAAATCCCTTCCACTATTTATTAAATTTGGTTTCTATCAAGGTAAGCTGGCATTTTCTGAAGAGAATGGGCATTGCTTGGTGCACTTGTGAATCAGGGAAGGTTAACGCAATTGCTAAAGCTTCAGAGGCAATGAAGTGTAGTACTTGGAAGCCGAGGAAGAGGAGAGAGCTAAGTGTGAGAGTAGGGAGACACGGAGAGAGAAGAGTACAATTTCTCGCTGGTATGTCTTTGTATACTCTCACACCTTTCATTCCTAATTGCTAAAGCTTCAGAGGCAATGAAGTGTAGTACTTGGAAGCCGAGGAAGAGGAGAGAGCTAAGTGTGAGAGTAGGGAGACACAGAGAGAGAAGAGTACAATTTCTCGCTGGTATGTCTTTGTATACTCTCACACCTTTCATTCCTCTTCTTATCCATTTTGGTTCCTCAAGCACAAGGGAGAAACTGCACTCTTTCTCATATTCCTCACGGTCATTTATTCTAATGGTAATGATCTTCCTGTGGGAACACAAGACAAAGGCAAAACAAATGGTTGACGTCACACGCTCATGCTCTGGGTGTCACTGTGATGTTATGGAGGAAGAACTGGCAGCACATAGACCTCCAGAAATATGTAAAAGGGCATTTGGGTACTCTCAGCTGGCCCCCCAGTAAGTTTTTTTTTTTTTGCTAATGTATCACTTCCACAAATTCCTCCTGCATCAGTTAGCAGTAGGTAGGTGCCTGCCAAAGTAGGAAGGTAAATCACAATGGTGGCTTCATTTTGGCATTGCACAGAAGCTGCACTAACTTTCCTCCAAACGGAGGCTCGATTGACTGCACTGAAGAGATTACTCTCTCAGACCTGTAAGGTGCAGAGTGGCCAAAATTGGCTGATGCTGCTGCAGGCCCGGCCCAGTGTGGCTGGGCGGGCGTGAGGTCTATGCCCTGTTACATAGGTGGAGGGATGTGTGCGATGTAAGTCAAGTTCTGCAGAGGGCAGGCATCCAGGGTGGCACAGGCCAGCAGAGGCTGCGGGGCTCAGCCCTGGGGCAGCTCCCCCACCTTTCTTCTCACTCATTTCCACCAGGCGGGGCTCTCCAATCTCAAGGAAGAAGGTCTTGTTTTTCTCATACTCCTCATCATCAATTACCTTGACTGATATTGTTTTGCTGAAACAGAGAAGAATAGAAATTGACGAACGAGGGGAAGAGGAAAGAGAAGAGAAGGAACATAAAGAAGAGGAAAGCAAGGTTAATGAGTTGCACTTCCAGAGAAACGCCAAATGAGAAACTTCTGTACTGTGAGTTTTTTTCTTCAAGAATGGGTATCAGATAGTCTGAAAGACTGAAGAGGTCACCCAATGCATAGCTCTCAGGGCCACAGAATTATTTTGGACAAAATATAGCACTCAGTACCAATGAGTTTGTCATCATCATGAGAAGGAAAAATAGAAAAACACAGATCACAATAATAAGAAAGGAAAAATATATTTATTTAGTAAATGCCTTAACCATTGTATTGTCTGAGCTGTGCCCTGGAATTTACTCCTTTAGAACCAATCAATAAATCACATCAAATATTAATAGAGGTTATCTCTGAATAATAGGCTTCTGGGTCATTTTTTCCTTCACTGTGCTTTACTGTACTTCTAACAATCTTTTTATCATAACATTTTATTAAAATGATAATAAAATAATCACAAAAGAAAATATAAAGTCTTCTATCTTACGCCACCCAATGTCCTAGAATCAAAGTCTTATTCAGGTTATTCAGATTTTTCACCTAGACCTCAACAGGAGGTTGTTCCTGTTCTGTTTGTCTTTCTAAAGATGGAAACTGTGGCCTCACAACAGCTGTTTTGAAAGTGGGGTGGCATGATACTGTAGTTATTTTCATCCCAAAGTTGATTTTTAACTTTCACTAAATATGCCATTTACACTACTTTCCAACTCCACCGATGCACCAAGGCGTTTCGAGAATTCTTCCTGTAATCCAACCTTTAATGGTTCTTGCCCTAAGATCCCATGATCCTATTGCTGTCAGTGACTGACAGGCAGGAAGGACAAATGCAAATATTATGCAAATCCCAACTTCCTGGAAGCATCCTTGATGACTCTGAAAATAAATCAGTCTAATGTTACCTTTTAATTAGGAAGGGTTTAACAGTTCATGTGTTACAACGTACTTAGAGCCCCCAAACACTGATTTGTCCTTGAAAAAATTTTTTCAATAACATTGGCTGAGAACATTTCTAATTAAAATTTTTGAAACAATGAGTTTGTATAGACACGGAGTTTTAATAGCATGTACATTCTTTAACTTTGGTGGAGCTTTGTAGATCTACTGGAAGGAAATTGGTTTATAATCTTGTTTTTATTTTACTGACCGAAGATGTCAAGTTTCATTTAGACCCATGCATACTAAAGAGCATTGGTCTTCTTCCCTGGTAGGAAGGAAGCATAAGTAGAAGTTGCTTTTAATTCTCTAAATTTCCCAGCCTCTAATGGCAAATGCTTAAGTCTTCCTTTCTTGGCTTAGCATTGTAGAAGTGAGATCAAATGGATGGTTCTGGTCCTTTGCAGCCTTATACTCTGTTCCTTGGCCAAAGAGCATCCCTACATGATCTTCACATCCCATTTTCTCACTCCTAAGGAGTTGGAGCTCATGAAAGTACCTTTTCTAACTCAGTTCTGTCTTCAAGACTGAAATAGTAATGCTGGCTGAATAGCTATAAATGACTAAAGCAACATGCAATTTTTTAAGGTAGTTAGATATTTACAAAACTACCAACAGTATGACAAATGCCAGTTATGATGTATACAGTGAACAGTTCCTGCCTAACTTCTAGAACTATATTCTGGAATTCACCTGTTTACTTATATTAACAACAACAACAAAAAAATCAGCCTGCCCTGACTAGACTGGGATATGTAGTTGTTCCTCAACATCCAAAAAATATTAAAAGAGAGAGAGAGAGAGAGAGAGAGAGAGAGAGAGCGCACTGAGGACAGACATAAGGAATGAAGATGTGTGTACTTTCTATATCAGAACTGTATTTGAAGTTATAAGTAAGATAAAATTGATCCTACAAAAACCTACCAAATATCTTTCTTTGTCATCAACTTATGAATTTTAGGTATTAATTTGCATCATACAGTCTTGCAGTCTTGAGAGAGAGAGAGAGAGAGAGAGAGAGAGCGCACTGAGGACAGACATAAGGAATGAAGATGTGTGTACTTTCTATATCAGAACTGTATTTGAAGTTATAAGTAAGATAAAATTGATCCTACAAAAACCTACCAAATATCTTTCTTTGTCATCAACTTATGAATTTTAGGTATTAATTTGCATCATACAGTCTTGCAGTCTTAAACTATGGCTATACACCTCTACTAAAACAATCAGTATCATGAGACCAAGCGGGGGAAGTGTCAATGGGCATTGAAAGGGCCACGCTACCGTCTTCTAGACCTGATGACCCATCGTTTACTATCAAGGCACATCATATTAGGGTACATCAAATTGGAAGCACCCCTCCCCCACTGTGAGAGAGTCATGTTGCAATATTCTTGCTTGTAGTACTTAAAAACATTTGACTTTATATTTCTCCTTCTTGTATTCCCAGTCCAGCCTGCATCTCATCAGATATTTTATTGGATTGCAGAAATAAAGAAAGCACAGTGGGGATAATTTGAGTAGCCTTAGTGATGGGGTGAATGTTTGTGTAGGAAAGATAGCAGCTTCATGCTCACAGGGCAATATGATAACTTATTCACCAATAAATAGGAACAACCAAATATATTATTTCTTATCCTTGGTGAATATCATAGAACTTAATCCTCTATTTCTATAATAGCTTTATTTTTTAATACTCTGAGTGGCTGATGCGTGTGATAAATATACAGCCCCACACAATTTTTTTGTATAATAAAATAAGCGTTTACAATTTATTATTAGAGTACCACTATTAGCTAAAAATCATAATTCTTATAAAATATTTTAGTAATTGATAAGTGTGATACTAGAAAATCAAAGATAAAGAAGAAAGAAAAAAAGTACTGCTATAGTGTTTGACAGAGACATCTAAAACAGATGTAATTTGCATAATGGCATATCATTTCAAAATCATTAGCAATAGAATCAATAATGTCCCCGACAGGAGGAGCCATTAAATTATACATTGATTTAGCTGCTCTTTGCACAGTAAAGCTATTAATAGGAAACTTGATTATTAAAGGACATTTCAGTTGATCTAAAGTGGCAAGATGAAGTCAGTCCTTATGAATTAGCCCTCTAAATTAGGAGAGGCAAAAATCATAAGTCATTGGTAATATTCAACTTTTGCTTCAGAACAGAACTATTCCTCCTCCTAGCAAAGGTAACAAAGGTGAAATTAACCAGTGTAATTTTTAAAAACATATCCTGGGAATGCCTCCTTCTCACTTTCCAGAGCCTAATGCATGAAAGATACTGCTGCCACTTTTTCCATCCTTGGGGATGTTACATGAGATGGGGTTGGTTTGGTGAAGACTCCAGTTACACTGGCTTGATACTCATCAGAAGCATTCCTCTGTTACTCACAGATCTGCAGTAGAAATAGAATCTCAAGGACTAAAGGGACCTTGAAGGTCCTCCATTGTGCCCCATCCCCCCACCAATCCCATGTTCACATGGCTTTTGCATTGTCCAAGGGTGCCAGCAGATCCATGTTGACGGTTGTGTTTATCAATGGGGAACAGTCAGATAGCTGTTGCTATTTCTCTAAATTGACAGGTTAACACAAGCAAGACTGGAACAGTTGAGTAGACATATCTCTTCATCCAAATACAACTCTTGTACTATTATTGCACTAGTAAGGAACAAATAGAAAACCTGGTGTCATGCAATTTTCAACTAACACAATTATGACAAAGAAGGTAAAAATAACTCACATGAATTTTTTACATCTCTTTAAAGTTGAACACTGTACTATAAAAACTGTATTTTCTAAAAAGTAGCAAAGCAGTTATAAATCTTATGATAACATTAAAATATTTCTCAATGTGGTCAAAATTTTTATGGAAGTACACTTTGTTTTCATTTCTAGAAGAACAGATTAATTTATTTAGAGGAAAAATACAGATCTTTCCTTTTGATTTTTGTAGTGCCTTTCATGTGATGATACAGACCAACATCTGTACTTTACTTCTCAGTTTCTCTTATCTGACTGGTCACAAAGAACCTGAATATCTTCAAACAGACTAACAAGAGTCCCTGTATCTGGTGGTGACTCAGGCAGACAGTGAGAAAAGTGAGAAAGAGGTATTTTATTAGTGAGAACTAAGAAAGGAAATGTCTTCAAAATATATTGTAGTCTCTTTTCGATATGCTGAAGAAGTACCAGTGTCTTCTTTAATTTAAACCTCAACTTGTCCTTCTGTGGTTTCTTTTCCCTAAGACTGCCATTGATGTTGGAGGAAGATGAGAAAAAGATGAGTTGGAGGATTAGAGAGAAGAGACTTTCTAAATCCTCACGCAAAAGATTCTAGTGAGAATTTTACATATTTAGATGAAGAAGTGGCTTTTTCTTTTCTTTAACATTTACCCTCTTTAGGCATATTCAGAGGTCAATGGAATGATGTGCACTTTGCATTTCTTAATTCACAGATATTCATAACAGTCCTAGAAGTAATTCCTACTATGATTTGCAGAGAAAACAATGACTCTCAGAGAAGTTAGTAACTTCCAAGGTCACAAAATGAGATTCCTGTAACTGGCTCTAAGGACTAATATCTTTCAATTATGTGACCCATAGTCAACCACCAGCTCCCTTATTCATTCAACTGCAT